GAGAGAGAGAGAGACGTTTCACCCAGCAGCCTCTTATTTGCGCTTGAGCCCCTCAGCAGTTACAGGTCGCGCGCTGCTCCATCATCACGGGAGCTCGTGACTGGTTTCTCCTCGCGCAGGACTGTCAAAGCTCGCGCAGGTGGCGCCTCCCCTTTTCCTCTATATATGACCAGCCTCAACTCATCCGCTGTTTTACACTGTGCGTTCTCACTCAGAGAGAAGATGTGGTCAGGATAGAACTGCGCTCCTTTTCTTGCGTGCACCAAATTGCGTTTTTAAACGAAACCTCTTGTTGCTTCCCGCGTACGTTTGTTTCCCCCCCTCCCCCCTTCTCGTTTAGCTCTTTGTGGGTTTGTTTGTTACAATGAAGGCCAGCGCACCGGTTCGCCCTCATAAGGTTTCTTCTGGCTGCAGTCAGCTCTCATTGCGTTATTTGTCGGAGTGCAGCCGATGCAAAATGGAAGAGGAGGATCTTTTCTGTCTGCAGTACGACATGAACGACTGCTACAGCCGACTCAAGCGCCTGGTGCCCACTATTCCGCAGGATAAGAAAGTCAGTAAAGTGGAGATCCTCCAGCATGTCATTGACTATATCCTGGACCTGCAGCTGGCGTTGGAGACGCACCCGGCTCTCCTGAAACAGACGAGCCCACCCGCCTCCACACGGACCCCTCTCACACAAATCAACACAGAGCAGGTAAGCAGGACCCGAAACCTTCGTGAACGTTCACTAAAACAACTATGGTGATATTGGCTGTGCACAGAAGCCTCATTACGCACGGAAGTGAAAATAGTGTGTGTTTCTATGAACTGCACCAGACGAAATATGATGCTATAGATCAGAGTGCTGGAGGCCTGTGTTTCCTTGTTCTTTGCCAAAATGTAAAAACATTTAAATTTTCTTAGTGTTCAATTTTATGTAATTTTATATGTAACCTGATTATGTAATATCATCTTTCAGCTATGTAGGCATATTGTATTATATCTAAACCTTTGCATATGTGTGTGTGTGTGTGTGTGTGTGTGTGTGTGTGTGTGTGTGCATATTTATTTGTTTCCTGTATGATCATTATTATTTTAAATAAATGACTCCATGCACAATAGCTTATTGATGGTTATTGTGGCCCTCATGTCACCTCACCATTAGCCGCAGTAAGAATAAACGCATCTGTTTCCTTTGCTTTCAGAGGACGACGGGTGTCAATAAGGAAGACTCAATTTTGTGTCGCTGAAATGTTGCACACCGGTGAGTACATGAAATTCAATATAAAATATTCTCAAAGGACTCATCCCATGTCTCATGTAAGGTTACGTATAATAATTCATCTGATACACTGGGAAATTTGCAGGGTCTGGTGAAAATCGGTTCTTCGGCACTTCCATGTGTAGGCTTGGAAGTATCTTGTTTTTATGAATAGTCAAATACTGCTTTTTAATGATTAATTGAATCATTTTAAAATGATTTCCCATCACATTCAGTGTCACACATTACTTTTAAAACGTGAAATAAATAAAACATAAATAATAACAAATGTGTCCAATTTAATTGATTACTATTTTTAAATAAAAAATATTTTCTATTAAGTATAGAGTTTTGCTGCCAAAATACTGTCATATTTTTGTTTCAGAACCAATAATTATTTCGATGCATCCTTTTGGTACAACAAAGCAAAAATACACCAAGTGTTTTAATCAGCCTGCATTAAGACTATTTCAAAAAACCTTGTACACATGTAGCAGTGGAAAAAGCCAGAGAAATGCTTCATTACCCAGAATTCACAGCTAAAGAACAGGGCTGAACTGTCAGGATAATTGGGTAACAGACTTCTAATAGAGCTGGCAGTACATGCAGCTGCAATGGCTATTATTAATAGAGCCGTGACAGTAAAAAACGCATAGATAGAAGTTATTACCATAATATTCCTGTTAGTATGAATTAACTACTTGCGCTTTCCGCTCTGGCTGGACTGTAACTCTGGCTCCCGGACGCTGGCAGCCACTCGAACACAGCTGTAGGTTGCACAATAACTGTCCGCTCTGTGGCGGTCTTGCTAAGAGGGGGGTTTGACGGTCGCTCCAAAGTGAAGCGTCAGGGCTGGTTGGCTGTGTGTGGGAGCGCGTACACACGAGGTTAGCAGTCCGGGCCTGCGTAGCACTGCGCTTGTTGTTTGACCTGGTTTGTTTTGGGTTGTTGATCAAGCATGCCCTCTGTTTTGTCGGTGGCGCCAGTCAGTCTGGAGCACACAGTTCACACACCCCTTCTATTCATTCCTCTCTCACAGGTGTGCACTGAACCCATCCAAAGCCAAGCCCAGCTTCACCAGGGAATCCAACACACACCAGGCCCAATCGCAGGGGAGCAGCACTGAAACTAATAGCTACTAAATCAGAATATGTAAACATTTTAACGTCAGCTCTGTCAAAGATGCGGTGAAGCCAGCCAGATTTCTCCTGTGCCCATTCTGTTCTCTCTCAGTGGGGGAAATGCTGAATTTGAACAGAGAATCCAAACCCTTCACCCCCTTTCCACTGTAATTCCAATTGAAACATAACTAAAGGCACCTCGGATCTAATTTGACTAAAAACAGCAGACTGTAAAGCTTTATGAATCAAAATGAAAATGTAAACATCTGACATTTTTGTTAGGTGATTTGTGTTGAACAGGGATTTCCCTGCTGTTTAATATTGTAAAGAGCTATGATAAGTGTTGACTTAAATAATACTGTACATAACAAGGAGGATGTTCTATAAATGTATGTGTAAGAGAATATATGTTCAACCAGCTGATTGTAATTATTCTAAAATATTTTTTATCAAAAATGTTTTGTTCTGTAAATATTGTGTTTTCACATAAATGTAGTGAATGATTACATGATGTTCTGCTAATAAAGGTCTCACATCATAAATTAATTTGCTCGTGCTTGGTTTTCTGCCCGTTAAATTAGTTGTGAGCACAATTACTAAAACATGTAGAATAAACTGTTATTGGATTCTTGTAGCGTGAATATATTTAGAAACTGTTTCATTTAAATCAGTTGATTGTTAAAGGCATGGAATATTACTTTTCGTCCATTGAATAAATTATTTGAAATGAATGAGACCATTCTTTACTGAACAATCACTCAAGAAGGCATTTGTTTGTACAAAACCTCTCCACACAAATAACACATCAGCCCTGTCTTGAATGCAAGTTGCGTACAATTTCACCAATATCTTTGATAGGTACTTAATATTCCAAACCAAGTAAATTATACAATTTTTTTATTGCATTGTTTATTGTTTACCTATCTGAGGACTGCTTTATGCTTAAGCCTGCAGTCTCTTCTCTGATTGTGCCCCCTAATGGACTGATCTATTTTAGAGTAGATTATGCATGAAAAACAATAAGACAGTTGAACCAAATATGCAGATTCTGCAGGTATTCTACATTTTATCTCTGCTAACAGCGTTTGCATAGTAAAATCAATTCCGACAAAAGAAAACCCCAAGCGTTTTTGCACACTTAGCAACTCCCCCTTTCTCTCTTCATCCCTCTCAAGGTTAAAAACAGCAGAGCCAGTAGATGTCCGTGGGATACTGTAGATACCGCCTGCAGATTTGCAGCATCTCCCAGCATGCTCTGAGGTCACAGCGTCACATGTTCTCAGATTCTCAGGTTTTGTGCTTCTCAGCTATTTTCAGCCTTCACCGAATTGAGAAATTCCAAAAGGGCAGGAGAATGTTGTGAAAAAAGATGTGACCCGCTGTCACCGTACACACTAATAGAGGCTCCTGAGGGCCCCTCATTCCCAGCAGGTACAAAATGCACCTGTGTGTTGCTACTACATACAAAGCCAACATGCTGCTTATGTCATTCAGGTTTAGAACAAATATACACATTGGAATTAGCCACACCTCCCCCAGCTGTCAATCATCTGGTCTATAAGCATATAACCAGCTATATGGATTGTAGTCAAACAGATGAATTAAATTAATATTCCAAGAATATTTTTTTATGAGAAATGATGAGAAACCCGCAGCTGATGAGACCCACATCCTGTCTTTTTTCCACTTAAACAGTAATCAATCATCATTGCAGACAGTCATATTACTTTCCATACTAAGGGGAAGTTGTGGCCTAATGGTTAGAGAGTCGACTCGTAACCCAAAGGTTGTGGGTTCAAGTCTCGTACTGTCAGGGATTGTAGGTGCGGGGAGTGAATGTACAGCACTCTCTCCCACCTTCAATGCCACGACTGAGGTGCCCTTGAGCAAGCCACCGAACCCCCAACTGCTCCCCGGGCGCCGCAGCAAAAAATGGCTGCCCACTGCTCCTCAAAAAAACTCTTTGTTTGACTGTACACCTTGGTGTTTTTGTCTGCTGGCGCCTTGTCTGGCTCTAAGCAGCGAAGAGGGTGACTGTGGGAAATGATCACATCCTGTTTTATAAGAATAGGTGCATTAAACTGTATTCAATAATAAAAGTGATCACTGGAAAAAAAAAACAGCAGGTCAGTTTGTCCAGTAATAGCTTTAAGATAAATATTGTAAATATTTTTTTTTATTTCATTATACACTACTAGCTAGTGTTTGGACACAGTTGATTGGGTTGATATACTGTTCAAAAGGTTGGCCAGGTTTTTTTTTTTTTTTTTAATTCAGGAAAGATGCATTCATTTGCTAAAATGCTGTTGTAAACACATATACAATGTTACAAAAAAAATCTATTTCAAATAAATTCTGTTCTTTTTAACTGAATCTCCATCAATGAATTAAAAAAAAATGTATTATGTCTTCCACAAAAATATTAAGCAGCACAACTGTTTTCAACATTGATAATGTTGAAAGCTGAAAAAAAAAAAATTTCTACAGCACCAAATAAGCATATTAAAATGTTTCTACAGCACCAAATAAGCATCTTAGAATGATTTCAAAAGGATCATGTGACAGAAGACTGGAGTAATTATGCTGAAAATTCAGCTTTACATCACAGAAATAAATGACATTAAACATGTATTTAAATAGAAAGTTATTTTAAATTGTAAAAATATTACTGTTTTAACTGTATTTTTATGCAATATAACAAAGAGTGAAAATTTTAAGGGGGTCTGAATACTTTCCGTACCCACTGTATATATATAAATTAAAAATATTAAAATTAATATTCATTGATTTATTTTTAATATAAAAGTTAATGAAAAGGCAGTCAAGCAGCCAAGTGCAAAGCAAATATTGGAACTGTTTAAAAAGCTGTTTTATACCATTTAATATGCATCCAAGCATGAACATCTTGAAGATAATGAGATTATACAGAGTTTTCAGAGCTGTAATCTAAAATTTTGTTATTTTGTTAAAAATGTTATTTCTAATGTTATTTCATTGTTTTATGACTATTATATTATTCTAAACGGAAAACAGTCGGTCTGTCCAAATTTTTTTGACTGGTTGTAAAAATACCATTATATCCAGGCATCAGTGCCTCCCATTTTGGGGATGCAATTAAAAAAAAAAAAGTGTAGTTTCACAAATATGCAAAGCAGCCATTTAAACAGTTATCGCCCACTTTTCCGTTAAAACTGCCCCACAAGACTAAAAACACAATCTAGTTCTATACGATTTGCCACTCAACCATGAACATTTAGTCCTCATTTTATGGTCATCAAGGGGCTTCATTCCCTTTCCTCCTGCTTTCTTGACCCCCCGCAGAGAGAAATGGACAGGGAGAGATGGAGTGAGCGAGTGGAACACGCCGGGTCCTGAACAGCACCTGATTACAGGCTAATAGCCTCAGAGTGATTGAACATCTCAGGCTTCTGGCTAATTGGTGCTACTTAAAGTAGCTATTAGCACACAATGGCAGTCACTCACTCATAAACAAAGACAAGATCTGGCCTCTGAAAATATGGCAAGATGGAAAGATTATTTAAATTAGGAAAGATTAGAATACGGATTTGCCAGTATTCAGTAGTAACTAACTAAAAGAAATAATACTAGTTTTAAAAAGTACATTTTTAGGATTGTGGAGGTAGCTGAGCTTTTTTCATATTAGTTTTCGAATAGCAAATAACATTTTATATATCACATACTGTATATTCTTTATAAGATTCCTTTTTTCATCACACTGAAAAATTACTAGTTAACCATATTAAATCATTTTATATATATATTCAATATTTATTATGGTTGATAGATAAACAGTTAATATAAAACAACTGGATTCATAAATAAAAACATTTTTAAAATCATAAATAAACCTATATTGCTACTATAAACATTAATGCTACTTTATTTGTAATATATCATAAGTGGGTAAAATAAAAATAAAAGAAACATTTTAAACAAAATTATACATGATAATAAAAAATCAATATAACATTACTAAGTATAAATTGAATGGCTTAAATATTAACAATATCTTTCTGTTCTCAGCTTAATTTCTGACATTAGATTTGAAATAGCTTTTCAGACTGATATTTTGTTTCTGGATTGAGTGTATTTATGTTCTGTGAGACTGAGATGTGTTTGGTAATGCTTTAATTTGAGAGGCGCTGCTCAAAAGCCTCTTGATTCATTTGAGACAAGTATGAGGTTTTTAGAAATAAAGCATATTGGTTCAATATAGATATAGATATTGAATCTATGTCATTACGCAGGAGCATATGGAAGCACTTTGAGGGCTTGCGTGTCTGATTGTAAGGAAAATAGGTCTCTGCAGTGAGCATGTCTCTTCCAGCTTCCAAAACACCTCATTCATTCAAAATCAATGTTTCTTATTGTGCCAGGCAGCGGAATGACCATACAGGAGAGAAGAAAGAAAATGAAAAGAGAAAATAGGAGGACAAATGATTAGAAGAAAGAAAATGAAGTAAAATAAGAGTGTGGAGCGTAATATGAAAGACAAAGTAATGAAAGAGAAAAGCCTCTGCTGGATTCATTGCCAATGTGCAGGCCCTGAGAGACGGAGAATGAATTAAATGAGCCCTGTAAAGCATGCCAGGCCTTTGCCTCTCATTCAGATGACTCCTCCCCCCATTCACCCTTCTATCCCTGGAGAACGTGTGATTAGAGAGGAGGGTGAGGGATCTGGATCACTGCTGTCAGGAAGGGATGCCAGCCGTGCTAGAGGAACACGACCCTGAGGTGGAATGATCACACGGGCAATATGTCACAGCAAATGCCGGTGCAGGGTGCCAGGGCCACATCCACAGGTTTCCTGGCACATAGACGCTTGGCACCATGTTCATACACCGGCTGATTATGCCTGACATGAAAGGGCTGAACCACTTGTGGTGGTGTGAGATAGATTTTTTAAGGGTGCTCTTTCCATGCTATGTATGTGTGTGTGTAGTTGAACTGAAAGTCATATACACTG